GGAAAAAGCAACCAACAGGAAGGTGTAAACTAAACCAGTCCTTCCCAACCTTTTTTACACCTCCTGTTAGTGGTTTCTCTCTTCTGGACCCTTAGCATGTGAGCTGTACCCTCAAAACTGATGCTACTGCAAACGAGTATAAATTGTAGGCTCACCTCCCTTCCTTTTGACTCATTCTTTTGGCTGTTATATCAGGTTTTACCAAAAGCAACCAACAGGAAGGTGTAAACTAAACCAGTCCTTCCCAACCTTTTTTACACCTCCTGTTAGTGGTTTCTCTCTTCTGGACCCTTAGCATGTGAGCTGTACCCTCAAAACTGATGCTACTGCAAACGAGTATAAATTGTAGGCTCACCTCCCTTCCTTTTGACTCATTCTTTTGGCTGTTATATCAGGTTTTACCCTCCCTTCATCCTCAGCATAAATAAAATCAGAGAGGATGATCCGGCTCCGTATCCAAGAGCATGGGTGAATTCACAGTCATTTGCCTAGGGAGGTTGTGGAATCTCTGTCACTGGAGATATTGAAGAGTAGGTTGGATAGACCACTATCAGGGATGGTCTAGAACAGTGGTCCCCAGCCTTTAAGGCTCCCGGGCACCCGGGAGATGGGGCCACTCACGCGCCGGGCGCCCGGGGGCTGGGCCGCGCGTCCGGGGGCACGCCAGGGGACCGGGATGCCCTTGCACTCGGCACTGGCATGTGCCCTAGGGCCAGGGCTGCCCGAGCACCGTGAGCCCGGGGCTGGCGCTGCCGCCCGAGCTGCGTGCCTGGGGCCGGCACTGGTGCAGCTCGAGCGCCGCGTGCCCGAGTGCCCACATGTGTCCTGCGGCTGGGGCCACCCGAGTGCCGCGCGTGTTGCGCGCCTGGGGCCGGCCCCTCCTGTGTGCCGCGTGCCGGGGGCAGGGCCGGCCCAGGTTGTCGGCGGGGGCGCAGAAATGCCCTGGCGGGGCAGTGAGTATGGGACTGAGTGCCTGGCCCAAACGTGGACCTCACGGGTATTTGTCACTGTGGGTGCGAGGTATCTGCACTGACATATTTTAACCATTTAAAACACATGATCATTAAAACTCCTGGTCCTGACTGAAGTGCAGGTTATAGCCCTTGTATGTCAAGATGATAGTTCTCCTTTTTCAAACATTAAAATCTGATCTGCTTTTGATATTTGCTAGAGGGAGTACATTTATAAACATTGCGACAATGAACGTATCAGACAAGAATACAATCTTTCCACTCCTCCTCCCCCCAAACAAGGACAAATTATTAGTGAATTTCTCTGAGACATGATATTTAAATCCTATTTCAGAGGATACTTGTGCAAAATAGTTGATTACCAAACTGTGGACGTCCCAATTAATCCTCAGAAAAACGTAGCTTCTAATACTTTGTCCTTCTATCCAAGGATCTCAAAGCATGTTGCAAAAGTAATTAAGGCTAATCAACATGAGGGCAGGGGAACACAACCATCCCCATTTTACAGATGGAGAAACTGAGTTACAGAGACATTAAGTGAAAGTTAGTGAGTCAGAAACAACAGGAAAAAGAATCTTGCTTTCTAGATATCCACCCCTTTTCTTTACCCTTGATACTGAGCGACATGATAAACCCTGATAGAGCAGATACATTCTCCACCTGTCTACCACAGGTGATAGAAAGCGCCTCCATGTGCTTAATACGTAGGAAAGCCCCACAAACACACTGACTGTATATTCATGATGCTCCTTCTATTGTTTTTTAACCGTTTCTCTCTCTTATAGGTTGTTGGTCTTCTCCTGCCTAACCAGACGCTGGCAACCACTGTTTTTTGGCAGGTAACGATCTCCTGCCATGGCACATAGAGTCTCTGGACTTGTGGGACAAAGAGCAAAGCCTCATTGAATTGCATCTCCAGCATAGTCCCAAAAAACGAGGATAGTTTGATTAAGACACACTTACCGTCCTGCATCGAGAGCATCTTACTTACTGAGAAGACAGCCTGGCTGGTTGCAACTGGGAACTTTTGGTAGGCCTGGAGTACGCTGCAAGCAAACCCATGGGGCTGAGTCTCTGCTGCCCGGCACATTGTGTTCTCATTTACACCTTTGTAAAGGAGGTGTAAAATGGTGCTAACTCCAGTCCGCCGCCTTTGCGCAAGTGTAAATGATGAAACAAGGTGCAAAGCCATGGAGAATTAGGTCCTCGCTGCTGACACCTCCGCTGTTTGGAAGACACTCTGCCAAGTAGTTGAGGCTCCCGCCTTTGCAGACCTTGGAAAGGGCATGCTCTGTTAGCGAGACAAGGTGGGGGAGTCAATTGGACCTGCTTCTCTGGGTGACAGCAACAAGCTTTCTCGCTCCACGGAGCTGTTAGAAAAAAGAGCTTTGTGTGGGCTCCAAAGCTTGTCTCTCACCAACAGAAGTTGGTCCGGTAAAAGACATTACCCCCCCCTTCCCCGGCTTGTCTCTCTGGGATCGTCATGGCTACAACTAGGCTGCCTCTTCTCCTGGGGATATTCATCCACAGGTTTCTGAGGCTTCAGAAAGGCTCCAAGACTGAGGGGACAGCAGAGCATACAGGCAGAAGACTCTGCATGGGCATCATCTGACAGTTCCACTGACAGCAGAGCTCCATGCCAGTTCTGCAGGCTGAGTCGGGTGTGGGAGTGGAATGGAGGCTTGGCTAATGTTTCTACGATGATGCCTCTGTAGCTCCTTTTTGCAAAGCTATTGGGGCTGTGTGTGTATCTGTGTGTGTGTGTGTGTGTGAGTGAATTTTAGCCGTAGTAAATGTTCTCCCAGTTAGATGATTCTGATTAGTTGAAGTAATAAGGCTTACTCACACTGTGCTTAAAAACCTTTCTGTTTATTGCCTTTAAAGTAAGTAGTGATTGATATAAAATGTCATACCAGCCATGGAAGATCAAGGCAAAATGCAAACTATCTAGGACTTAAAGTGTATGTGCAGACAACAGGACACACAAACTTATCCTAGTAGCTTGTGGTTTTGTTTAAGTTAAGCAAGGTAAGTGATGACCACAGAGTTCAAGTGCTGAAGCAGCATCTTGTGAGACTCAATTCAGTGGTGAATCCTGGTTTGATGCTGCCTGAGGCATGTTGCATGTATACTAAGAAGACTGCATTTTTTCAGTTTAAATAAGGGCGTCAAGATCCTGATGTGAACGGGAAAGGGTACTCTAAAAACAAACAGAAAAAATCAACCCCCAAGAGCATAATCCAAAAGGAATTTGTTGACAGAATATACATATTTCAAGTCCCTCCCCGTCCATTAGTAAAGCAGCATGGACTTCCCTGGAAGTGGCCTGTGCTTATGCAGAGGTAGAATTCAGCATGTGAAATGTAGGCTCCCAGCTGCTTGTCAGAGGGTGACCAGACACAAACCCAGCCCACAGCAAAGAAAAGGGTCACAGCCTTCAACTTGACTAACTCGGGGTGTCTTGGGAGGTTGCAGTGACATCAGTGGTTCGCAAACTTTCTCGGGTGAGGATGGCCTGCTGGCCACCCCCCGCCAAACCAAATTGACCCAGATGACAGAGTTACCAGGAGAGGTTTGTTTTGGGAGTCCTTCACTCAAACTGCGCCTGCCAACTTAACATGTGGTACAAAGAATATGGAGGGTCACCAGACTTTGGGTGAGAACATTTTTGCCCCACCCCCCTTCCTTCTTCCTCTGTCCCTGCTCCCCTCCATCTTTCCCATTCTCTTCCTGCCCTTCCTTTCCAGCTTTTCTGACTCCTTTCTGTTTCTTTCCCCTCTTCTCTCCTTTCGGTATCATTTCTCAGGTACTGCCCAGCAGCAGGAGAAGAGCAGCCCCGTGCGCCCGCACTGACACGCTTTAACCACAGCACCTTGAGTACGCATGTTGCAGGCCAGGGCATGTCAGGCCCCAGACTGAGGTAAGCAGTCACTGGAGCAGCATGAGTGGGACCACTCAGCATCTGGAGTCCCGTTTTTGCTGAATTGAGGGACTGTGCAGAACGCCTTCCCTCCAGTAGATCTTTTCCTGGCTGTGGGGAGAATGGCCCTACTACCACTGCTGCCCCCTTTCAACACTGCAGAGAGGGGGGAGAGGGCCATCCAGCCGCCCTCTGAAGAGTCCAGAAGTGTATCAGCCAGTCACCCTAGAAGACCGCAGAGCCAGGGAATGGATAGCAGGGCTCCGTCCCCACTCTAAAAACAAGGTAGGAAGGGAGCGGGGCAAAACGTGTCCCAGTTTTATATTTTGGAGCTGAGATTCTGATTGGTAATTGGGGTGGAGCTGTGGGAGGGTGACTGAACAGGGGTGCTATTGGGTTTTCAATTAAACCCAATTCCACCCGGGTTTGAGGATCTGTTACCAAAGGTTTCCTAGCTCTGCTCAATGGACCACTACTTCAGTGGCGTTTGATTAGTGGAGCTTTATAAAGACCCAGAAACGAGGAAAATTCCCAGCACCGATTGCCAAAAAAACCCAATTCTTGTAAACGTTTTTTTTAAGCATAAAAGACAAATTTTGGTGGCCGACTATTCCTTGCTGTGAAAGTTCTGAGATCAATAGGAAGAACATGCGTGTGGGCCACCATTACGGCTTTTTCCCAGCTTGGTCTTTTTGTGTCTCCGTCCTCCCCGCATTTCACCCCCCGGTGACTCTCTCTCCCCTTCCTTCTTTCTAGCTGGAGAAGAATCAGTAGTATCCTACTCTTACATTACCCCGCTTTGGGTGGGGTGGGGTGGAGAACCATCGTTCTTTCCGTTCACAACAGCTGCTGTGGATAAAGCACTTCAGTTCAAAATCACGGTGCTCCTCTTCTCCAGTTGCCAGTCCTGTTGCTTACACGCTTCCATTGGCGTGAGTGCTATCCTAGAAGTCAGGGATGGAAATACCAATTAAATGACCTAGACCGTTGTGCCTGTAATTGTACGGCAGATCCTCTCACAATCCCCAGACCAGCCTCTCATGAACCCCAGTTTGAGAACCACTGAGTTTAATGAGTGTCTAAAGGACTGGCTGCTACGGCCTGTAATATCCTGCCACTTTCTATAATGGATGCTATGGAACAGAGCAGGCATAAGAATGCTTAATGTTAAATTACCATGTAGCGTAACCCTTCAATGGTGTTACATTTATGAAAAGAATTTTAAGAAGGTTTGATATTTCCAGCTGTAGATCAGTTTTTATCACAGTCTTACTATTTCCAGGTAGGGCATGTTTGTTTATTTCTGGATTGTGTCTATGAGGTACACCTTACAACGGTACAACCGTGTTGTTATAAGGTGCTCAGTGTAGCAGTGTTAGGTATGCAGTGTAGCCGTTCTTTGTCACTGGGAAAGAGCGCTCCCTTCAACAGAATAAAATCACCCATAAGAGGCAGTAGCTTTGTTGTCGAGAGTGTGTCTCCCACTGATAAAGCACTGTCCAAAGCAGCACTTTTTGTCACTAAAACTCTTAGCCCTTCAGGTAGTGTGTGTGTGTGTGTGTGTGTGTGTGTGTGTGTGTTTTCACACCCTGAGCAACAAAAGTTTCAGTGGTGAAAGTGTCAGAGTAGACAAAGCCCAACTGTGTGTCTGTCGGTGTGAGTTGAATGCTAATGAAAAGGGGAGGGTTAAAACTATTGGGATGTCAACCAGAGGCCAAAGAGTGTAAGGCCAGGAGTAGTACCCTATAGCAAAATGGTGACAGTAGAGGATACTGAGCAGAGACCCCTCCCTTAGACGAATGGGGGAGACCAGCCTATTTGTCTTCTTTTTGGTGGTAGGGACCAAACAACTGTTTTTTGACAACACACCGGTGCAGGAGACTCTGTCTTACTGTGTGTATGTACAGACCTATTCCAGTGGTGCTGTTGTCTCTGTTAGAACCTGTAGCTACTACTTTAATACCAATAATACTAATAGCAGAAAGCTGCTGTTCTCGCATAACACGATAGGATGTGTAAGTCTGAGCACACCTCCTGTTTTTACTGAGTATTCTTACGTATCATGAAAATAATTCTGTTAATAGATTTTGTAAAACTTTTATTTATAAAAACTAAATTTAGCATCTGAACTATCTGACGCATCCCTTTTCAACTTGACTCTAGTACAGTAGTCAGAAGACCAGATTGATTGTCCATTGATGTCAATTCAAAGAGTCCCCCTTAACTTCAAAGGGTATTGGCTCGGACTCCAAGCATGCACAAAGCCTTAGAAATGCGCTGGGGTGTTGGTCGCTTGTATGCGTGTGTGTGTGTGTGTGTCGGGTAGAAAATGGACATTTCTGCCATTAGTTTTTCTCTCTCTCTGCTATACTTGTGCAGACATGTGACCGTTTTCTTCTAGATATCACAAAGCTCCTATGACCCAGTGGGAGGAATAATGGGATAAAGTGGACTTTCCTCTTATCACGTTTCTAGGAGGGTTTGGTTTTGGTTTTTGCAGCCATAGTGACACAGGTGTAGCCATTATTTTTAAACCAGTTGTTAGTCTCTTATTCCCTTTTGTTTCCTTTTTAGTGGTTGAATCAGAGCCACAACGCATGTGTCAACTATGCAAACCGAAATGCAACAAAGGTGAGGAGGTGCTACCTAGGCAGTATCTGCAGTAAGTCTGGTCTGATCTGTTTTGACACTTGACGGCATAATTCCTGAAGCTTGGACTTTAACAGACACTGTAGGGTAGCCACAGCAGATGTATGGATTGGCCTTTCTCCAGTGGAGACTTCACTATTACATTACATTGTCTTCAGTAATAAGTGGAATGAGTTTGTGTTTTCACTCTAGTCCAGGGCTGGGCAATAATTTTTTGCTGGGGGCCACTTCGGAAATTTTTAAGTGGCCCTGGGCCGCACAGGAAGGGGTGTGGCATCAACCAGAAGGGGCGTGTCCATGATATTTCCAGGTTCCCCCCCCAGACAATGATTGGTCTGGGGGTAAGGGAGTTCCTTTGCCCCCACCCCACATTCCCCCAAGGTGCCCATGCCCCTGGTGTGGGAGGAGGCTTCCCTCGCTCTCCTGCCGTAGGCCAATTAGGGCCTAGGTTGGGCAGGGAGCACCCAAAGCCGACTCCGCGCCCCCCTGCGAGCAGTGCGTGGCGCTTCAAAGCCTTGGGGTGGGGGAGCAGCAGATCCAGCCCCTTGTCTCCATCCATCTGTGGAATACATTTTGTTATGTGCACTGAGGCATGAGCAGATGTGCACCACCACTGGAAACACTGCTGGTTGGGAGCACTCTGCTAATCAGCTGGGTGTCACCTGACTCTCTCTTGGGTGGCCGCCCACATGCTCAGCTTACAGGGAACACTGACTCCACCAACCTTCACACGAGGGGGTTGTTCCAGAATAGAAGAAGCGTTGCTGGTCTTGGTTTAGGTGACAGAAGCAGATGTCGTTCCCGTTCTATAGAATATATGCATTCTGTATGTAGTGCCAACTTAGTGCCTTCCTAGGATTTAAACTTTATTAGTAACTCAGATAGCCTCAACAGATCTAAAACCATTTGCCCATGCAGGACCTCTCGGCTCTAGACCCTGGTTCTTTCTACCCAGAGAGATGCTCTAATCCCGCTCATTTGCTAAGTAGCTTAGCGCTACTAAGAACCATCTGCTGGTGCGATTCTGCAGTATTCCCTCTACACCTTCAGATAGGTTTCAAGCCTTTAATGGCAGAGTGACTTCTGAGAGGAGTTCTGCAGAGTGCTAGAGTCCATCCGCCTCTTTCCAGGGGTAGGGGTGGGCAGCATTTGTTAAGACGCACACAGGAGTTGCACATGCAGGCCCTCTGTGTCTAATGCTCCTGTTTTCAAGCGCTTTTAAAAGTGGGGCCTTTTTCCAGATACTTGGCTTCTCTCTTCTCCATTTCACTTTGGACCCTCTAATTTGTGGAGGCGAGTGAGTTTCTTTTCCAGATCTTGTTCTCCTACAGGGCAGACAACGTGTTACCACAACCTCAATTTGCCACTGGGCTGGCCAGTCTCGATTGGTAATAAGTGACTTAATTTGACAAATAGCAAATATGATAGATACCTGGCTTTTCTGATGACAAAATAAGACTTCACAATTAAATGTGCAACCCCTGTTGGGAGGCAGGGACAAGTCCTTCCCTGTTTTGTTATTGTTCCAGGGATGCTCTTACTCCTGGTTTTTCTTTTGTGCTCTTTTATATTGCATAATTTCTCATGATGAAAGGTCTAGAGAACACGACCTATGAAGGAAGGCTGAAGGAAATGGCTTTGTTTAGTTTAAAAAAGAGAGGACTGAAAGGCGACATGATAGCCGTTCTCAGGTATCTAAAAGGGTGTCACAAGGAGGAAGGAGAAAACTTGTTCATCTTGGCCTCTGGGGATAGAACAAGAAGCAATGGGCTTAAACTGCAGCAAGGGCGGTTTAGGTTGGACATTTGGAAAAAGTTCTTAACTGTCAGGGTGGTCAAACACTGGAATAAATTGCCCAGGGAGGTTGCGGAATCTCCATCTGTGGAGATATTTAAGAGCAGGTTAGATAAATGTCTATCAGGGATGGTCTAGACAGTACTTGGTCCTGCCGTGAGGGCAGGGGACTGGACTCGATGACCTCTCGAGGTCCCTTCCAGTCCTAGTATTCTATAACAGGGCCCTCTCCACGGGGCAGTCTACCTCACTGGCCTAGGTTTGCCCCGCTGCGGGTGCCCAGGATTAAAATGGAAAGTGCTGCTTCTTGTGGTGACAGGCCCCCAGCCCCCTGCTAGTGCTGAGCCAAGGTTTCGGGCCCATCCCTGACAGAAACTCAGTCCCGGCAACATGAGCAGTGACACGGAGAAGAGCTGAAGTCCTAGTATTCTATGATTCTGTGGTGGCTGACAGCTCAAGATCTGAAGCTGAATTAGAAGCCATCTGGCTTACCTGTAATAGATTCTCATTAAAAGCTAACGAACTTGTCAGGTCAAGATAATCTTTCAAAGACCTGTAGTTAAATCAGATAGCTTTAGGTTAACAACGTAGGCGTGAATAGCTCTGTCACTTTGCCAAATCACATTTACACATAATATGTCCAAGACAAATAGTAAATTTGTGGTGCTAAATAAATTCTTTTCCAAGTCCTCTAACTCAGTGGCACTCAACCTTTCCAGATGATGGTATCCCAGTCAGGAGTCTGATTTGTCGTGTGGACCCGTTTCATCTCGCTTAAAATCAGCTTGTGATTTACAAAAGGAGACATAAAAATACAAAAATGTCACAGCACGCTCTTACTGAAAAAGCACTTACTTTCTCATTTTTACCATATGTTTGTAAAATAAATCAGTTGGAAGCTAAATACTGTACTTATGTTTCAGCGTGTAGTAGATAGAGCAGTGTAAAGAAGTCATTGTCTGAATTTTTAGTTTGTACTTACTTTGCTCGTTCTTTTTATGTAGCCAGTTGTAAAACTAGACAATTATTTGATGAGCTGATGTACCCCTAAAAGATCTCTGTTCACCCTAAGGGTATGCAGACCCCTGGTTGTGAACCTCTGTTTTAACCTAGTGGCTCTCACCCTCTCCAAACTATCGTACTTTCAGAAGTCTATTTGCCCTGCATACCCCAAGTTTCACCTCACTTAAAAACCACAGAGGTCCCGCAATCTAAGTTCTGTACGTCAGCCCCTGCTACCCGGCAGATCTCGGGCTAAAGGCGGTAATGTAACTTCGTGGGGCCCTGCATGCCAGCACTGCACTTGTGACATCCCCCAAATGTATCCCACAACCAGTGTTCCATCCATGTCTAGAATAAGTTTTATGTGCACCGAGGCATGTGTGGATGTGCACCACCAGTCGAAACACATGCTGCTGGCGGTGGGCACTGTGGGCTCTGCCTGTCAGCGGGGCGACATTTGACTGTCTCCTGGGCAGCTGCTCAAGCACATAACTTACAGGTAACACTGCCCAAGTTGATAACCACTGCTTAAACCTACGCCACCAGGCTGTCATTCCTGTTATTTCAGCATTCCCACTTGCTAAGAGGACCACGGATAAGCTAGCAGATGTGGCAAAACCAAACTTTTTAAGAATAATCATATCCATTCAGAATTATTTTCATAACCAGAATCCTGTGTTGAAATTGTTACTTTTTCTTTCCTTTCTGAAGCCTTCTCCAACATCCAAGTTCATCCAGGGCTACTTGGGAGCTGTCATAAGCGCTGTCTCAATTGCGGTGAGTAACACTTTCTGTTTCTCTCCTCTAAAGAAATAACGTCTCCCCTGTACTAATGGGGTATCTTTTGGAGAGATCAGTTGTTTGAAATGGGAAATGGCTTGACTTTAATAGTCAGAACCTGGACTGAATGTCAAGAAAAGGGCTCTCCGTCCATAGGCAGCCAGCCGTTGCAATTACACTCTACAAAATAACCCGCTACTCCGAAATGTCCCTTATGCCCCGTGGAATGAGGTTTACAGGGACGTTGGAATAGCGAGCCTGAAATAACGGGCTTGCTGTTAACTTCAGGTTAGCTATTTTGGGATAATCCAGTATTCCGAAATAGCATTGCGGTGTAGACATAGCCACTGTGTGGTTTTATGATGTCAGTGGGAGAGCTCTCTCCTGTTGAAATAGAGCAGCTACCGTACAGTGGTGTGGCTGTGTAAGCTTGCTAGCGTACACAGGACCTTAGCTCTGTGTAGTAGAAGTCCCGGTTATATCTTCACTGGAAAGTTAACTTGAATGTCAATCACTTCTATTTATCTCCCCCACGTAAAATGGCACTTGCGCTGCACAGATTGGTTGCATTAGCTGCACAGATTGGTTGCATTAGCAGCTGCTGAGTTCTGCTAACTTGAGCGTTAGTCTGTACCTAAGTGGGTGGGCCAACTCCAAATTAAAATCTCCACCGCACTCTAGTTAAAGGTTTTGTGTGTGGGCAGGGTTGGAATTATGGGCAATATTCAAGTTGTAATTCACATTTAACTCTGCAGCAAAGACAAGCCCTCACAAGTTTACGTTCCCTACGTTTATGGCTTCGTTGGGTGACTATCAAGTGTTCCATTCTTAGACTCCCGAGGAGCACCAGTTCAACTCAGCTGTTCGTTATCTGCGTGGGGTAGACACGGGTCCGGGGTAGACACGGGTCCAGAGTTGACTCTGCGATTTTTCTTTTCAGGGAGGCCTTTCAAATATGGCCTTAAAAACGAAAGTGTTCCATTGGCTCTGCTTGGACATTAAAAAACTCCATAGTGGTTTTTGTAAGAGTAGGGATTTTCCCCTGTTGCCTTGGCCAAAACATCCCCCCCCTCACTTCCATGGAGCTGCCAGCAGGCTACGGCCCTTCACAGCAGCAGTGACTATGTTTCTATTAGAGATGTGAAATCTCATTTAATCGGTTAACCAGTTAAACGTTATATTTAATGTTTAACTGGTTAACTAGGGGTGGACATGGGGCTACTCTGGCTTGGCCTGGGCTGCTCTGGCTTGGCCAGGCCTGCTGTTGGCAGAGGTAACTCCGGCCAGGCCAGACCTGCTGCAGCACACTGCAGGCAAGAAGGGAGCTCCTCCATCCTGGCTGGGCTGCTGGTTAACTGGTTAACCATCGACATCCCTAGTTTCAGTGGTGTTGTGTGTAAATAAAATGCTCAGACCTACAAAGTCCTGTGGAGATTCCCCAGCCTCCCTAAGCAATATATGTCAGGGGGGTCAAACACTGGAATAAATTGCCTGGGGAGGTTGTGGAATCTCCATCCCTGGAGATATTTAAGAGCAGATTGGACAGACACCTGTCAGGGATGATCTAGACGGTGCTTGATCCTGCCATGATGGCAGGGGACTGGACTCCATGACCTCTCGAGGTCCCTTCCCGTTCTCGGGCATGTCTAGACTTGCTTTCACTTTCAAAAGAAGATACACAAATTCGGCGTGAATTTACGTATCTTCTTCTGCTCGCTTTTTCAAAAGAGGTTCTTTTGAAAAAGAAAGTAGTCTAGACGCAGTTCCTTCGAGAAAAAAACCCTTTTTCAAAAGAACTGTTCTTCCTAAAAAAAATGAGGTTTTGCACAGTTCTTTCGAAAAAGGGTTTTTTTTTCTTGAAAGAACCTCTTTCGAAAAAGCGATCGGAATAAGATATGCACACTTGTGCCAAATTTGCATATCTTCTTTTGAAAGAAAAACGTAGTATAGACACACCCTCAGTGTGGTTTCCAATAACATTTTCTTCTGGCTTTTCAACCTTAAGTATTAATTTAGCCTTTGGACTCCACGTACGCATCTTGTGTATGGGCAAGTCTGCACAACAAATGTAAGTCATCCTAAGATGCATCAGCATACAGCGTCTGCAATGATTCAACAGCTTGTGCATGTGCACACTACACTGCCTATGTCAGCATGGTGTGTCCTAACCAGGAGTGCTTGCACCAATTCAACTGGAAGTGTGGTACAGTACGGGATTGCTCCTGAATACAGCAATAGTCGATATAAGCAACAGAACATCTACACCGACACTGCACTGGCCTAATTGCATCAACCCAAGCACTACGCCTCTCAGAGAGGTGGAGTTATTAAGTCAGTGTGATGGGGGAGTTACATCGCCGGGAGCTGCATTTTAGTGTAGACCAGGGGTTGACAACCTACCATAAGTGGCACACGAGCTGGTTTTCACTGGCACACGAGCCTCCCTGCTGGATCTATGCCGACAGTATGTCCCAGAAAACCCCGCCGGACATTTCAGTATTTGCAGGGAAAAAGCGACCGAGAAATGGCTTCATGCACTGCCACTGCTCCTAGCACAGCACAGCACAGCACAGCACAGCACAGCACAGCACAGCACAGCAGCGCAGCCTCCTCCCCCACTCCCCAAAGCACGTAGACGGCTCCCTTGGAGCTTTGCTGGCGGGCAGCTGGGCCGGCTTCCAGAGGCACCATTTTCAGGTCACTTTGCCATCCACTGCCCCACCACCACGTCCCTTCCCCTCACCGCATGTGGCTGGAGTGCCAGAAGAGTGAGGTGTCTCCATTGGAGGCCACATCAGTGAGGGTTGGGGGTTCTTAGAGGAGTTTTTTTGCTTCTCACTTGTGTGGTTCCCAACTGATTTTTTCTGTAGGTCAGTGGCCCCAACCCAAAAAAGATTCCCTGACCCTGCCATACATAAAGAAGACATTGAAACCTTTTGGGTTGGACATCAATTAATATTTTACATTATTTAAAATGAAGTTTGATAAACTAACATGAAAAAGTTAAAACGCTTAATTGGTTAATCATTTAAATTAAACCGTTCTCCCCAGCTGCAGCACTAGCAAAATGGCTCAGGCATAATTATGTAATTAACAGTGAGTTCCATTAGGAACTGGTGGTCTGCGGAAAGGTTTGCATTGACCCAGGTGGTCCACAGGGTGCGCAGTGGAGAGACACCCTCCCAGGAGAGCAGCACAGCCCAGGGCAGGAGGGTTAAATCTTGGCACGCCACTTAGGAAAGTTTGCCAACCTCTGGTGTAGACACTTAGGATACGTCTAGACTACAGGCTTTTGTCGACAGAGGCTTTGTTGACAGATACTGTCGATGAAACTTCTGTCGACAAAGAGCGTCTAGACGACATCCAGTTCTGTTGACAAAGCAAGCCGCTTTGTCGACATGAGAGTGTAGACGCAAAGGACAGTGTAGATGCAATAACGCCTTCTGTCGACAGACCTTTGTCAACAAAAAGCGTTATTCCTCATAGAACGAGGTTTACCGCCGTCGACGTTACGTTGACAGAACTCGGCGGTAGTGTAGACGCAGGTATGGTTTTGTCGACAAAAGTCCACTTTTGTGGACAAAATCCCGTAGTCTAGACTCACCCTCACAGAGTTAGGTCAATGTAAGCTGCCTTACCTCAACCTAACTGTGTAGTGTAGTCAGACCAGGGCTTAGTTATTTTCCCTTCTTCATGTAAGTTGCCACTTCTGAGTGTAAATCACTCTCATTTTACTGTTACTAATTGCCAAGTTACTCTGCTTTACCACTTGCATGCAGTTTTCAGTACAATTTATACAACTGCTGAATTTGGACCTTTTTTCCCTTCAGTATTTCATCAAACAATCACTCCCCCCCTCCCCCCACACACACACCTCAGACCTTTCTCTGCAACAGGTACAAACTGTTAGCCCCCTAGGTCAATGGTTCCCAATCTGTAGGGTGTCTGCGGAAATCTTGAAAGTAAGGATCGGGCCCATCACTGGACTGCAACTTTCCGCCAAGTGATTCTTGCCCAGGAATCGCCGTTCATGACCACCTGTCTTCCTGCTGCCAGCTGTGCTGCCGTTTATGCACCAGCTCCCTTCCCTGTCCCAGTCCTGCGGTGGGCCTGATCCTCTCTTTTCTTTTCTTTTCTTTTCTTTTCTTTTCTTTTCTTTTCTTTTCTTTTCTTTTCTTTTCTTTTCTTTTCTTTTCTTTTCTTTTTCTCCCCCAGGGCTCCGTGCCTAGCTAAGGGTGGAGTACCAGGGCAGGAGCTGCCTTTGGCCACCAGAGTCCCCTTGCCGTATCCTCCATGAACGGGCAGGGGACGGAGAGGGTGGGAGCTGAGGAAGCAGCGTGGGCCAAGGGGCGTGCTGGCTGCCGCAGTATCAAGCAATGGAATGTTTGAAAACAGCTTATTGTTTGGGGGGCATTGTAAAATTGTAATAGATTGAAAAGGGGCCTGAATGCTTGAAAAGGTTGGGAGCCGTTCCCCTAGGTGCACGCACGTGGAGCAGGCAAAAGCCTGAGAGCAGATAGCCCTTTCTCCCGTTCCTGAATGTCAGCAGCTCTCAGACCAGCAACAAAAGTAGATTCCAGAAGGGGACCCTCCACCAACAAAGCTGAGCCCCTCCCCATAAACAACCGCCTCTGTCGATCGTTAGCAGCGTTCTCATAAGGCATTGTGGGCTTTCACATCGACTTGTGCTGTAAATATATATAGAACATTCATAGTTATAATTAATCCTAACTCGTTTCCATCCAGTTAACCCGTCCTGTTGGAGTTATAATCGGAACAACACATCCTGCAGGACAGGTTTGACTGTGTGTGTTTATACAGTGTCATTGCTACACAGCGTCTGGGCCAAGCAGTCTCCCTTCCTCACTTGGAGCACCCTTCCCTTTAGGGTAGTTTTGAAATGTAAACCTTCTCCGTGAGACCCTTGAGCTATGCAGAGATGTGACTTTTTGCAGATGTCTGGGTTAACAGCCAAAGCCAAGTTTCTGGAACGGGTA